CATTGCCTGTATCACAAATATATATCGACGGAGAAGCAATAAATTATTCCTGCGAAACGGCAAGGAAAAGGTGTTGATAGGGAATTAACCAATTCTTCGTCCTAATGGAAATTCCTCCAAATATAACGTAGTTCCCTTATAGAAAAATATCACTGGCTGTGATAAATTGGCCAGTAATAAATAGTAATTTTATTACTTGTACGAGTAATAAAATTATTGAACGACAGTAATTATCACTGGCCAAATTATTACTTATCAGTATTACATTTCTATAAGGGAATTATGTTCGATGGCAAAAGCAATTACCAAGTCATCCCGTGTCATAACCATCGACAACCACATTTTTTATGAAATATAATAAAGAGATATATAATAAAGAATATACAAGTCACATATAATCTGTATCACAAATATATATCGACGAACCCTTATAGAAATGTAATACTGGTAAGTAATAATTTGGCCAGTGATAATTATTTATCAGTATTACATTTCTATAAGGGAAGAAGCAACAGATTATCTCTGCGAGACGACTAGGAAGAGGTGTTGATGAGGAATTCAACGGTTCGTCCGAATACAAGTTCCTCCAAATATAACACAGTTATATCCGACAGCAAAAAGCAATTACCAATTTATAACGATTAATTTTAACGATTAATACACGTTATTTATAACGATTAATACGCGCAAAAGAAATTTTAGTTGATGCAATCAAATAGGAACTAACTGAAAATTAGATGATCAGAAGCGATATCTCTGTTATGAAAACTAATATTTCTGTTGTCGCAACCAAAAATATTCGTCTGAACATTCAACGATATTAGAACTCGGTTGAGGTAACTGAAAACAATTGACTATACAGAAACCTCATAAAAGAATGTTTCCATTCCTACAGCCGCGTTTTCGTCTGATACTTGAGCAACCGAAAATTTGGTTGCACCAACAGAATTGTTTCTTCCGTGTAGTCGTACTTTTATGAAATGTAATAAAATACGCGATTCACATCGTTTGCTTCACAGACGTTTTAATTCCGTCGTAACACAATATTTGCCATTAGTGATTAATGTTAAAGAATATTTCTTCGATATCTTCGAAGAATATTTCTTCGAGTTGTCCCAACAGATCCCTTCATCATTAAGACTCCAATAACCGCGAGAGCTCGATAGTTACTTTATACTTGTAATGTCGCGCTGTTATTTTCGTAATAACGACAAGAGATCGCGCTGTTATAAATATTCGACCAATATCGTGGCGCGATATCGTGCCAATATAGAGATAACGGTTCGCCCGTATGCTTCAATATGCCATTTCGCGATTACAACGTCGAGATTGTCGCGAACAGCGACTGGCATAATTTCCCTTCGTCTCTTTATTCATTACTTGTTATGGACGCGGACGCGAATACGAAGTGCACCGCCAGCGGCAGTATACGCGTTACGTGAGAAACGTGAGCCACTGCCTATTCGGTCGAATCTAATCAGAACTAATCATACACACGTACGGTAACCAGATCTCCAATATCCTCAGTCTATATTGAACGTAGGTGTGGACGCCAGAGGGAAAGCCGGAACCCTCACCGCTTTAGTTCAAACACATGCACCTGCTGACTGCTTAGGTGACTTCTTGCAATAATGCGACGTAAACGCACGCGTGACAATGGCCGCAGCAATGTTTGCCGTCGACAAAGCGGAATGAGACTGTGTGCTTAGGCAGGCAAGATGTTAATTCACCAACCGCGATCGACTTTTGACGTTAAACATCTCGATAAAATATTTGGTCGTGCATTAAAATCAATTAAGATTTTAATGCTTAAGACGAATAATGTTGTACTAAAAATTAAATATTACTTTAGAATAGGAGAAACTCGGGTCTAGCTGACCCAAGAGTCTAATTGACCTAAAGGGTTATGTTGACTATAGTTGTTGGGCAGAGTTGTAAGGAGTAAGCTTTTGTCAGGAGTAAGTTAATATTTTTTTCTTAATTAAAATAAGTTTAAAATTCATTGTTTACAAAATTAAGTTAGTTAAGAGATATAAACGACATCTAACTTAATTAAAAGTTAGGTCAACATTGAATTGAATTATTAAAGTTAATAGTTTCTTATGCAAAGTAACATATAGGTTTTGATAAAGATGCAATTTTAATATTTTTTAATGTGCAAAATTATACGTATTTTATACTTCTTATCTCTTCTGATATTCTTATCCCAGAGCTAGCCAACTTGACCTGATATCAGGAAATGATGGCCACATTACAGCATATTTATATCATGTTTAATACAGAACGAAATATATTGTTTACAGAATCGTAGTTTATAAAAACGTACAGAAAAGTTATCTCTGTCATGTTTGCTCAGTCAATTGCAACAATTATTTGCAATGAAAAGTTGCAACTTCAAAATTCTAAAAAGTATAGCATTTTATCGGCAGTCTTCTTTACAACTCGTTGCAATTTTATAATATCAACTGTGTGACACACAACGTCCACGGTTAAAAATATTGGAGAAACTTTGAAATACATTTAAAAATAAGTTGCATATCGCGTTATATTGCTACAAAAATTTTCGTGCATTTTTTTTACAGTCGTGGAGAAGTGTGCAATAAACGCACGATATTATTTCTCGTGTCATCGACAATGACACTTAAGTGAAACACAAAATTGTAATTATATATGTTAATATTATATTTCAGATTTATACGATAGTCAAGATTATACGTAACATCAAATAATATTTCGGCGAATAACAAACAATACGGAAAAGTATCGAATATTACAACCGCGTTTGAAAATAAGCCGTTATTGTTTGTAGAAAGTTCAATGCGATAATTACATTAATAATCCTTTTACGCAATAATCCTTTTACGCAATAACCAATTCGCAAATATTATGAAATTCAATGCAAACGCTCCCGGCGTAAGAAACACGTTTGCCGTTTGCATACTGTAGGCATTATTGTAATCTAAAATTGATTCACAGTTAATTAAATTGTAGGAACGCAATAATATGAAAACATCGATTTTCTATATGCTGCAGGTTTTGCGAATATCTTTAATTATTCTCCATCATATAATTACATCCGCTAAATTACACTACAGTTTCACCAAAAGAATAACTATCCGCAAATTCCCACAAATAATTGGACTCGCATATATATTTCCCACTTCAAATCTAATTCCGACTGCAAGCATCGCACACAAATTCCTACCAAATTCTTGTTAACGAATGCCCAATCGACCATCCGGCAATCTTTAGTCGGCTCGTTAAAACTAGAAGCGATTTAATAGAGAGAAAAAGAGAGAGAAAAGGAGAGAGAGAGAGAGAGAGAGAGAGAGAGAGAGAGAGAGAAAGCTATTGTAAAAGAGAGCCATAGAGTAGTTAACGAATATAGAACAAGGAAATGAAGAGATCATCGAGGGTTCAACGAGCAATATTTGATTAAAAATTGGGTCGATCTGTCAGTTTAATTTAAATAACGTCGATTCCCTGAGACGAAGAAATATTAAAGGGATATTTTCATTTGGGGCATCGTTTTATAGGTGACCAACTAAAATTAATCTGGCGTTTCTTGAATTATTACAAAGTATTAGAGAGATGAAATCTAGGAGCGTAAAATAGTCAGGTTTCATGTAGTTTATATTTTCCGTAGCGTCCTAGAAAATAATTATATAAAATTTTTCCAGATCGATTAAACTGTATAATAGCGCATAGATAGATAGATATTTTATTTTATATATCTAGATAAGAATGAATTAAATAAGAATATTTACGAATTATTTTAAGAAACTATAAGACATATAATTCTGTAATTTCGCAAAAATATTTATCTATGTTTTAATTATGTACAATAATTTTCATAGATCATTATCTTCATTAATAATAAAGTTATATAATTTAGTGTAGCGCTGCAGCAAAGTTTTGTTTGCACGGTTGCCACAATTTCAGATGTTGTAGACTTCTGAAGTCAAAACGGCAAATTATTAAACTATAAATTTGTGGTTATTGTCTCTGATTGAGAAGAAACATTAATTTTTTTTACAAAACAATACGACAATGAAAAGAAACATTAAATTTTTTACAGGACAACACGACGAAGAGAAAAATCGTTTTTAACCACTTTTTCTTAACTTTGGTAGTTCTTAAACAATCGAAATATTAAAGATATCAACTTCATCGCGATAACACGGCATCTACTTTATATATTTATAAAAATAAAAGTCGATCGGATATCTTTGTCTTGAGATATCATGGCAACCAATTCACGAAACTTCGTTTCAAGGAAAACGCGGTTAAAGTTTTTAATACACTTTTTTACCTTTAATCTGCTATTCCTGCATCATATACAAAATCTTCCTTTTCCACATGGAGCACATACAAAGCCAATATTTCTACTTTACAAGATCTTGTAGTCTCTTTTATTTCTTCTAGCGATTGACCTGTCAATGCGCATTATGTTTCGAAACCCTACAAATATTTTCGCTTGTTGACCAACGCTTGATGCCCATTAAAGCACAATTTCAAAATTGAGTAAAATTTTTCATTAAAAATGAAGCCGACTAAGAAATTTGTAATTTCAATTGTACCTTTACCAATGCACCCAATTAATGAATCCCCAAAATACAAATATAACTTACAAATATAAGTCGAATAACTTCCGAAACTTTATCGTTTTAGTGACACGACTTACTCGATTATCAAATCTACTCTCATTTGAATTCGTCATATATGTATTATTTCGCTCGATCCAAAATGTAGAAATACTTTTTTAAGATATCATGTATCCAAAATATACAATTAAAAAATTAATTTTTGACGTCTCCAAATGAAAATATTCTTTTAACGACATTCAGTTTCGCGAGCGACGTCTGTATATTAATATGAGGTTTCCAATCATTTTCAAGATATCGTATATCGTATATCGGGACTACAAAAGTACATTATCGCTAAGATATATCGTTCCGTAAAAAATTAAAACACATTTTAACGATTCTAAATTTTCGCAGACTGCGCGATCGACCGAGGCGGACCAACGAAGCAGAGCGACGTTGGCGCTTACCTCAGGCCTAAATCCGTCAAGGATGTTTTAGCGCAGACTGGCGGCAACGCATTGCTGCCCTGCCGATTCAATGGTCCTGGAATAGTAAGTACACATATACGTTGAAGCGCAAATATGTACGTTTAATACGGACACACGCGTCTTCGAAGAGCGCGCGTATGCAGCGGCCATATAATGCAGTACGTGTGCATGCATCATACGGGACCGATATACACGGGCGAAATTTGGACCGTGTATCGCAGTATCGTTTGCACACAAAACTACGCGTTACACGTGCACCGTTGTCATGATGCGCCTGACCACGTTGTACCACGTGAAACATGGCAAGTGCCTGTAAGTAGATGCGATCGTTAGTAGTATGCCTACGGCACAAAATTAAAGCCGCAAGCGACTTAGACGGTTATCCAACTATTAAAGAATTATGGGAAACGATTTGTAAATTTGGAAAACAATTATTAATTACTCAATTTTATTTATTAACTATTCATTGCTTGTTTATACATAAATATATACCAGGTATGTAAATGTGAAACCGGAATTTTTGTATAGAAAATACAGGTTTATTGTATGAAAATGATAAAAAATATTTTATTCGAAGTATTGCCTATCGCTAGCTATACATTTTTCCCACCTGTCTGACAATTTGTGGATGCCACGCCAAAAAAACTGTTGCTCTTTTGAGGCAAACCAGTCATCGAGCCATTTTTGTACATTTTCGTAAGAAGTGAAGCGCTGCTTAACAAGTGCGTGTCCCATCGATGCAAATAAATAGTAATCGGACGGAGCCAAGTCTGGTGAGTAAGCCGCATGCGAAAGTATTTCCCAACTAAACGCCTCAATCGTTTCCTTGACCAGTTTTGCTGTGTGTGATGGTGCATTA